TATGCAACTAAAATTAAATACTATAAGCTGGACTGCTGAAAAATAAATAGTTGTCACCTTAATTGATTGGTTCATATATATATATACACGTCATAAATGTGTTCACATTATTACGTCAAAAATATGTACATGTTATGCAATAATATAAATTGCTAAACTCTTTTGCTAACACACTAAATATAATTTGTTATTCAAAGATAATTGATAAAGGGTATAATCATTAGTTGAAATCTTTCTATTTCTGAATTTTTAATAAATATTATACGTCAATTTCAAGATCATGGGAAAATCATATAAGAAAAAATTGCAAGTTGCATGTAAAAAAGAAAATCGCATTAAAAGACATCGAGATGCAATTGTGAACTAGCATTAATTAATGAATTAGTTAATGAAAACAATTAAAATTAAGAATAGAGATAAAAGGCTCCCATTCTGAAGACATGTTGGTGCACAAGGAGGCAATTGTGTGATGTATGTGAATTCCTAAAGATTCTCTTATCCAAGATATATAGTAGTGTTTAATCAAATCCAAATCCAAATTTAATTTAACATATATCTTTTTATTAAATTTAATAGCCTCTCTCTCTCTCTCTCTCTCTCTCTCTCTCTCTCTCTCTCTCTCTCTCTCTCTCTCTGCTGTAAGTGTAATGGCGGCATAATTTAATGATTAAACATAAATAAACGTAATGTGGATAATTAAGAAAGAAGCAATCAAGTGGGTTTATCTTGTGTATCATCGTCCAATGTGAAACTCAGAAAAATAAAGAAGCATAATAATAATATTACTGTATTTTGCAGAGTGCAGATAGTGGGTTAGTGTGGGGGTGCACGTGCCCCATGTGCCCTAATCGTGCCACCCACAAAGTTTAGTTTATAAAGCGAGAGCACCATCAACACCTGCTGCCAGGCCAGCTTATTTACGTTGGTTTTATAACTTTGCTTTTCGCTACGAACCAAACCTTATGTTTTTTTAATTAATTTATTTAGTTTAAATTATATATATAAATTATTTCTTAGGAATTCCGAAATTTAGGAAATGAGTGAAAATTCCGATGATGAGGAAGAGTAGACGCAAAGTCAACAATTGTTTATGAATTGTTTGACTATTTAAATTTGTAGTAGTGTTTATGGGAAAGATTCAAATCCATACCTTTGACTGCAAGCAATGTGAACAATAGTCAAACAAATAAAAATCATACGAACTCGTATTATTATTATTAGTATACATGTCAACATGTGCTCTAGGTACGGTATATACGACTATACATACGTATTCACACTCGTAGATGTTGACCGCCTATTAATTTAAAATATTTTCAAACTTTTATTGATTAATTCATTATATATACGTAATAATAAAATAATATAAATAAGTATTTATGTATTGGTGTTTAGAATAAAATATTGATTATTTGAAAAGGCTAAAACATTTATGCAGTCGTTATCGAGCCCAACCAGGTGTATCAGCCTTTGCAACAGTAGTACCTCAGCAAATCTAATTTTATGGCAGCTACGTAAGTACAGTTTCAGGTGTAGTAATTAAATCTAAAAAAAGTTACAGCAGGCCCTGGCGGTAATTCAAGTTATATAATTTAGGATTTTCACAAATACTACTTGATTATTGGGTTTCAATTGGGCCAAGTTGGCTAAATGGTATGGAGATAATATGCTTAAGAGTCCGAATCATGTGGCTAAGTGATGTTTGGGCCGGGCTGAATTAGTTTCCCAATTTTGAATCCGATTTATCAAAGTCCATAAGTGTGTGCCCAACAAGGGATGTATATGTTTATTTTAATTTTAATAAATCATTTAAATATCCAAATTAAAAACAAAATTGATCAAAAATTGAACACTATTGTGAATTCTTGGAGGTTATGGATGACCACCATTACACTCTCCATTAAACCCCCATTACCTCCACCATTATTCACCATTAAGGTCTTGTAACTCATGACCTTTGACTAGCTTTTCTACACCTATAAATTAGGTGCAATGTATTGTATTTTGTACACTTGAATATATGGAATAATATATTACATATTCTCCCTACTTTATTCTCTACTTATTGTATATTATTTATTAGTTTCTTAACAAACACAAAGTTGGACACATTAATAGCACATATGTGGTACATTTCCTTCCATTTCATATTTCTTCATGAAAATTGAAAATTCTAAAGAGTTAAGGAGAGGATTACTCCTCATATTCCCCATTCTTTAATTTTCTATGACCTTTTAAATTAACATCAAACCTAATTGAACTAATTAAAAAAGAGCAATTTAGGATTTGATGACCCCTAGAACATGCGCCTGAAGTGAAACAGAATGCTTAACACCACCAATATGCAACGCATGCACTCCCATCGGAATCCGCCGAATCCCGGCTCCATCCACCACACTCAAGAACTTGCATACATGAATCCTCACCGCGACCCTCTCCTGCCCTCCCGCCGCAACCCTCACCTTCTCAAATGCCACCAATTGTTTGTGCGGAGCCCATCCCCCGCCAGGCGGGCTGGCAAACACGAGCAGCGTGTGGGACCCGTCCCTCGAGCCCGTATTCTTCACATCCATGCCCACACTAAGCGACAGCCCCTTGCACCTAGCGTGTGTCACCCGGACCGCTCCGCCGGAAAAGGCGGTGTCGTTGTAGAGGTGGTGGTGCCGCCCGTCCACCGGGACGGAAACCACCGTCGGAGCATCAGCGGACACCGCGTGCGCAAAGCTCGTGTAGCTCATACCGTGCCCGAACGGATAAACGACGGGTCCTTTGTAGAATCTATAAGTCCTGCCCGGATAGTTTCTTGATGGATTCGATCTCATATCCATTGTTGTCATAGGCAAGTTGTTGAGGTATTCTTGTGGATACCACGTCATAGGAAGCTTTCCACCTACATTAATTCACACCAATACATATTACCGATTTCGATTTTTTGTAAGGGTATTTTAGTCTTTTTTACACATGTTCCCGAAAATTCAATACATGTCTTAAAAACAAACCTGGATTGTGAGATCCAAAGAGAACATCAGCAATAGCAGCACCACCAGCTTGGCCAGGATAGCCAGCCCACAAAATAGCTCCAATTTTCGGATCATTTTCAGCAAACGATACATCAATCGGACCGCCGCTCATTAGGACCAAAACCACCGGACCCTTCGAAGCGGCAGCCACCTTAGAAATCAGCTCTTGTTGCCGCCCAGGCAGCAAAAGCCCCGCCCTGTCTCTAAACTCAGCTTCAATAGATTGATCCAACCCCATCACCATAATAGTCGCCTCCGCCTGCCTAGCCGCCTCAACCGCCCCACCAAACATCGCTTCGTCACTACATGCCACATCAGCACACCCCGGCTGATGAATCGCCCTCGTGTACTTTCTTATTCCTTGCAACGGAGTCGTGTATCCACAAGCAACGCCTATCGTCATAGATGAACACCACAATGTTATATGATGAAATGTCAATTTTACCGTCATTCTGTTTACTAATAATTTTCTTACCGGCGTAATTGCCTATCATGGTGAGAGTGACGTCAGAATTAGGACCGATGACGGCAATAGGACGATGTCGTCTTGAAGAAAGTGGAAGCGCGGGGCCGCGGTTCTTGAGTAAGACAATGCCTTGTCTAGCGGCTTCGAGGGCAAGTTCTTGGTGGGGCCCGGTGCAGACATCCTTAGGGCCGAGATTACCGTACGGATGATCAGACGGTTCTCCATCGAACATGCCGAGTCTCATTTGGACAGTGATTGTATTGAACAATGCATTATCTATCTCTGCTTCCTTTAGCAGGCCACCTTGTATGGCCTTCTCTGTGTGCACACCGAGGAAGGGCCCACAATCCAAATCCAATCCTAATCAACACACCACAAAACAACATTAATGAATTCATCAACAAGATATTAGTATATGTATATATGACGTAATAAAATAAAATATACCTGCTTTAATTGCGTCAGCAGCTGCTGCTTCTGGAGTTGATGTGTAATGCTGATTATCGTAGAACACGCCGACAGAGTCGCAATCCGAAACAATGTACCTAGTATTGTTGGTTACATCATCGTATCAAATGTCCTGTTTTTTTTTTTTAATAGAGAAGTGTGACATATATATATTATATATACCCATTGAGACGCCAAGCACCTCGAACAGTGCCTCGGAGAAGTTTAGGGTCAGCGCAGGTGGGAATGCCGTTGACTTGGTTGTACGAACACATCACACTTGCAACTTTGCCTTCCATTACACAACTTCTAAACGGTATATCAAATGTATCTTCAATGTCTTGCTTGCTTACCTGCATTTTTGGTAATTAATTAACATTTTTTTTTAATTTTTAATTCAATAAAAATAAACGGGCCTTACTAGTTGGGCTTTAATATTTTAAACAGGCCGGCAGTTTAAAACTCGTTACTAGACTCCGTTTCAATACCTTAGCATTAAAGTGGAATCTATCGACCCCACTCCAGTTATCGAGATCGTACGCCGTGTAGTGCTTGCAACACGCCGCCACCTTCAGCCGGTCGCCGCCGTCTGTGCCTTGTAAACCTCTGACATATCTGGCGGCGTATTCGCCGGCGACCATCGGATCTTCTCCCGGAGTTTCCTGCCCCCGCCCCCACCGTGGGTCACGGAATATGTTCACGTTAGGGCTCCAATATGTCAAACCCCCCATTCCGCCATTGTACATTGCTCGAGCCTCGTCTGAAACGACCTGTTGAAAATCGTGCCACAATTTTATTATACTGGCCCCACTTTTATCGCTGTGGTAGGGCCCACACATTAACAAATAGCAACATAGCATATGATTGATTTTCCACCATGCAAAAGTTTGTTTCGCGCTTTTAACCTTTAATTAATTAGAGTATCTTATCCCCTGTTACTTTTTATTTATTTATTATTTTTCTATTAAAATAATGCAACCTTTTTATTATTACCAAATTCCCAAAGAGGGAATCATTATAAATAAATTCAATGATATATAGTTTTCTTTTTGAAAAGCAAATTCTATCTTCGATTCGCTTCTGATTTAAGGAAATTTTAATTAATTTAAAGTGAAGGCAATGAATTAATGCTAGTGATCTTACTTTGCCGATCTCCTCCCACAAGGAGGCGTTGAAAGAGGCGGCGGTGGTGATGACCTGCGGGAAGCTGGTGGCGCCGGGAAACTCGCCGCCGAATTTAGTCCCCGGACCGACGTTGGAAACGCCGTGAAGCGCCTCCGACCACCACTCGTACTCCACGATCCCCAGCCGCGGCACGGCGGCGGCATTGTTGACTAGGAGCTTAACCTTCTCCTGCAACGTCAAACGGCGGATCAAATCCCTAACCCTATCTTCTGTGCGTAAATTAGTTCGACAAAACGGCAGCGTTTTGGTGGCTGGATTTTTGGGATCGCAGGCGAATGACTTCCTCGCCTCCGCTGACGTGGCAAAAATAGCCAATAGGAACAAGAGAAATGTAAAGGAAAAATTGGCCGTTCTCCCCATTTTTCGAAGAAACGACCAATGTAGTTAGTATACAAGCTTAAGGAGTACTATGAGACTGAAGTGGGGTATATATACACACACACATAGATATAGATATAATATAAAAAATGTAGGTGTGATTAATTATTTATTTAATTTGTTGGGTTGATGAATGATGATGTAATAATATAAGTGTAGAACAGCTTTGGAAAATGGATGTCCATACACAATTTGTTTTACCAACTGTTTGAAGGTATGGATCTCTTGGGTTTTTGGGCTCAATTTAAAATTAAATGCAAGTTGCAAGTAAAGGATAAAAAGTATAGGCACAAATTTTACCTAGTGAAAGATGTTGCTTTTGGGGAGTTGAAAAATGCAAGTTGCGAGTGAGTCTGGATAACAACAGTAAAAATATTTCTTACATAATAATACTCTGTTTCTTCAACAACGTTAATTATCAAATAAAACCGGGTTTAAACTTTAAATGTAAATAAGAGAGTTGGAGTAAATTGTTTTTACAAAAATAGTATTAATTTATAAATTGAGCAAGTATATTACATGATAGAATTAATCAGAGATAGATTGTGCAAAACAATGCTTGCTACCTCTGTTAGGTACAGCCTTTGCATATAACAGTGACACTGTCTTAAAAATTATTCTTTTCTGGGGAGATATGCTGGGATCCGCCTGTCAAGATATATCCAAGTTGATGCAATTAAGCATGGACACGTGGCGGTAACTCATTGGCTCATGTGGTGGCAAATATTGTTATAAATGGAAACATGATGGAAGTGTACGTATAATTGTAATAATATTAAATCAGGCTCTGATAATGTAACTGCATATAATTGTAATATAAATACGTAGAGATAAGCCAATGTTTGCTTTCTTATCAAAAAAAAAAGCCAATGTTTGCTTTTAAAACTCAGCCTGTCACATATCTACTCCTTATATATTTATTTATTTATTTATTTGATAAGTCTGTCGCATATATCTTCCCACCTACATATTTACTGTCTAATTGGAAATTGAAAACTTTCATCAGATCATGAGCTACTAATATTTTTTATTCATAAGATATAATATAGTTGTCGTGCATCATCACGACTTTATAGTGTTTATATAATTGGATTTTTTTTTTTTTAATTTCAGTAAAAATTTAAAAAAAAAAATGTATCTCCCCAATTGCTTTACCTAACTTTTTTTCACGAAGGCTTTACCTACCATAGTACCATTCTCCTACTCTTCACAAAATAAATTATTTTACACAGTTATATTTTTAATCTGCAGTTTTCGACCAATTAATCTTAAAATTTTCTAATTAGATATTGTTGATTAAAAAAATTGAAATTTGGAACATTATATTTTTATTTTTTTATTTGAGAGAGTATGAGTGTAGAAATCGATGCGACCAAACACAAAAGTCAGATTATCACGGGTAGCGCTCAATCCAAGAGAGCCACTTGTTTTGGTGCAATTTAACATTTTTAGTTTATTGGGCTGGTGGGGCCCACAATAATTTATTGGTATCAGTTGGACTGTTATATTGGGCTCAATATTTATACGGACTTTTGTACATAGGCTTTCAATCTTAATAAAATTCAGGCCCAATAAAAACATATTCATTAATTATTTTTTTTGTTACCAAATATATTTATATAAAACAATTTTTTTATGAAAGATTTATGTTTTTTTAATTAATTTATTTATAAATTTTCAACCATTTTCCATTTAATGTTTGTAAAAAAACAAAAAAAGAAAAAAGGAATCTGAAAACAAAAGGGACACGTGAACCACAAAATCAACGCAATTAGCAATTCGACCCACGTAGCTTTCACTCCTCCACCAAATTCTCCCCTCTCCACGGACCAGTGAAGGGAAAAAAAAAAAAAGAGAAATTATCAAAGGAGAAAGTAGAGAGAGCAGATCTACCGGAATTACAATCAGAATTCGATCTAACGAAAATGTTTCTGTTGGATTGGTTTTACGGTGTGTTGGCATCTCTTGGTTTGTGGCAGAAAGAGGCTAAGATCTTGTTCCTTGGCCTCGATAACGCCGGCAAAACTACGCTCCTTCACATGCTCAAGGACGAGGTTTTTTTTTTTTTAATTCGAGAATTGATTTGTATTTTTGCTGCAATATGTGGATCTCCGTTGATTAATCGCCTTTGATTTTTTATTTTTGATTTTTGATTTTTGATTTTGATTTTGATGCAGAGATTAGTCCAGCATCAGCCGACACAATATCCGACCTCGGAAGAGCTGAGCATCGGACAAATCAAGTTTAAGGCTTTCGATTTAGGAGGCCATCAGATCGCTCGTAGAGTTTGGAAGGATTATTATGCCAAGGTATATTTTATTTTGTATTTTCTATGTACATCTGTGTTTCTAATTGTGTTTTTTTATAATCCTGTGTTATTGTATGTTTGTAATTACAATTCATGATAGTATGGTGTGAGGAAGAGAAGCTAAGGTCCGGTTATGATTTGATCGTTTTCTATGAACTTACGCATTAATTGTCCTGGTGCATGGTGGTCTTTGTTTTGAATCAATTTGCGAGTGTTTGTTTAGTTCGAAAGGCTTGAGCATTTGGTATTCGTGTTGTGGTTCTGGGAGATAGCATTTTTCACTTGAAAAACGTAAAAAGCGGTGCCTGACATTATACCTGCAATTTGAGGTTGTAGTATCATTTTGATTTCCGTTTGGTTTTCTATCATGTTGGTGGATGAACATGCTTCTCCTTAATCGAAGAATCAATAGTAGAATAGTCGATAGTGGATGATTACTACACGTAAGGGGGATGCCACTAATAAGTATCATTTTTAACCAGTTCTGCTTTAAGACAATCGCAGAAGGAAAAACTTGCTTTTGTTCCACTATTGTTTTTAGTTTTCAGTCTGATCTGATGTGTGTGGCAGTCTGAGATAATCACAATTGCATATATTAAATATTTTTTTTAAAGTAGTTGCACATGTATTTGCTTTGATCACAATAAATATATATGTATCTCTAGTTTTGCTTCATCGTCCTAGTCTTTGTAGGACGTTATGCAGTTTTATTTTTCTTTCGTGAAACATCCTAATCCCACCTCACATAGATAGCAAAACCTATCATTGATACGAACATAGTGAAAAAACAAGTGGTTTGTGAGATGCAGCTAGGCATGGATACATTTGAGTGTTTTATGATATTGTATCAGTCATAAATATCTCTCTTTTGTTTCCAGGAGTTTTAACCATTCTTCACTAATTAGTACTTAAGTTACTATTAAATACTGACATCAGTAGCTGCTTTGAATACATATGTCAAGAAGCACGACATGTGGCCATTTCTAGGTATTTGCTCAATGATCGGCATGCAGTTCTGAGTTCTCGTTTCCATTAGATACCTACTGAATTGCAATGTGAAGTACAATGTGAACTTATATGTCTAGTCATTTTTAAGGCCTCATTTGGGAATGTTGATGAAATTGATAAGATTTGTTAATTTTATTTGGATTACTTGATCATGAATTGTTAATCTTCTGCTTGATATTCAAAATTATACAATCTTTGAATTGGGTAACAGTCTTTCATAGGATCGTGTCATTATAGGGGGTTGAGTTTGGACTAAATATCATTCCAAACATTTGACGAACCTTGATTAGATTGTTTATCGAGCCCTATCCTAATTCCCAAACGAGGCCTAAATAGATACCTACATGTTAATATTCATCATTTCCTCGTGAAATTTTCTGCTCTACAGGTTGATGCTGTAGTGTACCTGGTGGACGCTTATGACAAGGAGCGTTTTGCGGAATCCAAGAAGGAATTAGACGCACTCCTCTCTGACGAGGCACTTGCAGATGTCCCGTTTCTCATATTGGGAAACAAGATCGACATACCATACGCTGCCTCGGAAGATGAATTGCGTTACCACCTTGGCCTGAGCGGTGTGACTACTGGCAAAGGAAAGGTCAATCTTGCTGACTCCAACGTTCGCCCGCTCGAGGTATTCATGTGCAGCATTGTTCGTAAAATGGGCTATGGTGACGGCTTCAAGTGGGTCTCTCAATATATCAAGTAGAAGTATCTCTTCGACACTGTGTTAAAATGTGGACCGACATTATGCCCCTTTGTTGCTCGATGATGAAGGGAAGAAACAGCAGTAAAAGGAATTTCAGGTTGAATTCGGTTTGTTAGTTGTTTAAAGATATGTGTATGACTTGTGATTTGAGTTTGTAAGGTAAGTGGAAGTTTTTTAATCAGTCTTATGTAAAAAAGATTATCTGAAAATTTGGTGGCCAACTCCAGTATTCCTCAATTGAACCTTTCTTTTTTCTTTTCTTTTTTTTTTTGGGTAGAAATAATGATTTTGTTTCCAATCAATTTTCTTATTTAGTTGTCCTAGAATTCTTTCTTGGTATAATAAGCTGGCCGATTTTTTTCGCAGCTTAATTCAGATGCGCAATCTTGATCTTTTCGATTTCTATATTAAAGTGTCGGGTAAAATACGATTTCCTCTCTCTGTTTTATATGAAGGGTTATCCTTTTAGTTCCATTGACATAGAAAAGTTGAGAAAAAGCATTGCAATGTGATCTTGATTATTTGGTATTATTTGCTATTTAAATGTTTTATGCAATTATCAGTTTTCTTTGATCGGGGGCGGGATGGGGATCGATCGGGGCAGGACGAATTGACATCCCTACTTTGAGATGAGATCACATTAGTTGAAATCTATTACGGTTGAACGGTTCCTCTTCCAATTGACTAATCTAGGTTGTTTGGTATGACCAAGTACACATTCCTTCATTTTACATTTAACTAATCTTTTGGGAAATATTATATACTAAGATTCTATTGCTATTTCACATTCAACAGTTACATTTTATTAGTAACACTTGATCTCATCTCACATTCTAATAATAATAATAACAATAGTAATAAAATCAAATGAATTTAAAATGAACTACAGTGACTTGGAATAAATCAAAATTAGAGCCAATATATAAACTTTATATTAATAAGGACAAAGGGACCATATAACCAAGTCCACCATTATATCCAATCCCAGTGCTGGAGCGGTTTAACAAACACTTACACTTGTCTCTTAATAATATTTATATTTTTTTAAATCAGTTAATTAATATTATATATTTATATATAATGCAATAAAACGCATGCTTTTACTCATCCCCTTCCATTATTCACCTCATTAAACCTCCTTTTTTCCTTGCATTAAAATCTTCCCTACTTCATATACCTCTCTCAATCTTCCCCACCACCACCGCACAGATGGGGAACTCGGCCCCCCGCCGCCTCTCCGCCGCTGCCGCCACCGGAGAGGTCATCCTGTCGAACGGCGCCGTTTTCACGTACGACAGCCCCCTGACGGTGGCAGAGCTCATGCTGGAGCACCCGCAGGAGGTGGTGGTTGAATTCCAGCCGGTCGTGAAGGGGAAGAAACCGACGCCATTGCCGGCGGATGAAAAGCTCGAAGCGAACAAGCTCTATCTTATGCTCCCTGTAAGAAGGGGCAAGCCGAGCCCGTTGTCGTCTGAAGAAGCACACAAGCTTCTGACGAAAACCAACTCTTTCTTGAAATCGAAACCCCTTTTGTCCTACACCGGGTTTCTCCCGCTCTTTGTCAGGATTTGTCCGGCGGTGGTCGGAGGGAAACACGGCGGCGTTTTTGTGGAGGAGAAGAAGAAGAAGTGCTTGGGTGACGGCAGCTGCCGGAAAGAGGAGGAGACAGGGGGCGGCGGCGACGACTACTTTATGGATATATTGGAGGGGGGGAGGCCGGAGTTTTTGAGCAGGCAAATATCAGGTAAAGGGTGGAAGCCTAGTTTGGATACCATCAAGGAAAAAGCTATCAAGCCAAAAGTTCCCAATTGGATCATTTAATCTAAATCAATTAATTACTAAATTCGTGTGTCTTAATGTTATATATATATATATATATATATATATATATATATATATATATATATATATATATATATTTATATATTTATATATAGTAGGAATCATTAAAACTTTTATTAATGGGTTGTTTTAATGTTAAGTATTTAGTGTTTATTTAGCTGCACTGTGCATGTGCACTTTTATATAATATATATATTATATACATATAACCCAAAGCTGTGCTACGTTGTTGATTATATTGATTGTGCTTTGGTAGACTGTAAACTATTGTTTCTCTGTTTCTTTTTCTTTTTGTTTGAGAAGATGGTAGACTATTGTAATTATATATAATCCTTGAGTTTGAAGTTAAATTAAAAATATGTTTTACGTAATTTTACTTATAATACTGGGATCGTACTTTTAATAGCTACTTACTTATTCTACGTGGCACAATTTTATTTGAAAATTATGGTTCGGTATTTGGTACGCGCCAAAATTTCGATTCGGTTCGTCCGATTTACTAAACTGATGAACACCTCCCTTAGTCGTGAACAAATGGCCCGCCTACGGCCCATGGAAATCGGCCCGTCTGGCCCACGGGCTCAGCCCGCCCGGCTCACTGTTTCAACAGGCCAGCTCGCCCGGCCAATTTTACCAGTAATTTGCCGGTCCGACAGGCCCAAGTAAAAAAATCATATAATTATATAGAACTAGTATTTTTCCCCGTGCGTTGCACGGCCGAAGTTTAAAATAAAAAAAGAAAAATCAATATAAGTAAATAATGAAAAATCAATATAAGTAAATAATGAATAAAAAATAATGTAAACAAAAATTAATAAAGCTCATGTTCGGGCTTCCAAAACCAATACTATAGAGAAATCAAAATAAAAAAAAATCCACAAAATTAAAATATAAAAAATCTACTAATTGCAATCATAATGTGCGTATCTATTTTAGATATCATATTTGATACACAAACATCGATATCCTCGTAAAAAAGGATGGAGAATTAACTTACTATTCTCAGTGGTATTGCAATTTTAACAATAGATTTCGATCCTATAGAGGGAAAGGGGTAATATATTTGAATATACTATTTTGAATAAAATTACGAATGCAAAATATACATATATTCAATGCAAATAGTGTACCTAAAATACGCACGGTAGATACACCAAAAATATTGATCGTAAAAAAATCAACATTACACATTACACATTACGAATTGATGTATCTATAATTTTCATAAAATACCATCTCTCAAAATCTTAGATCCTATCGATGTAAGTTTTAGACTGTATCTGTAGTTTTGAACCATTGTTTCCTCTTATTGTCTAATTTATGTGCACAAAAATAATATATAAGTCAAACATTGGATTCTAGAGAGGATCAGAACCCATGCCAGGCCAAATGCACCAATTGATATTGAAACCAATAAAGATGAATGCATTGGTAAAATTCCCTAATGCAAAGAATAAACCAACAATTATTGTGAAAATAAATCAAGTACATCAAGATTGACTTGCCTCAACAAATAGCCACAAAAGCTGCAACTTCATTCTTAGTGATTATTTAAAAGCAGAAGTTAGTGATTGTGATTTAAGTCACATTTAAGTGCTTATTTCTAAAAGTTGGGGATGTTAGCAAATATTCTGGAAAATAAACTTAAATAGAAAAAAGTCAAAAACGGGGTTCCAGAAAACAAACAAACCGTCAAGATACGTGGAGAAGAAACATATATATATAGACAGAAAAAAACGGCTATTATGTGGTACAAAGAAATTAATTTTTAAAGAGAATCAATAAATAAACTGAACAAATTAGTAAAAATTGAACATATAAATAATTATATAAAATATTTTTTTGCAAATTTTTTATTTAATTAATAATTTTATTCTATAGAAATAAACTTACTGCAAAGCCACTCCCAATCTTTTTGTCCATTTATTTCTTCCACTCACCTATGCAGTAAACAGAACAACACAAAATATGTAAATAAGATTGGATAAACAAAATTTTCTTTTCACCTCCAAATAAACAAACGGCTTAAAATTTTGAACAACTATGGTTAAAAAAAAAAAAAAAGGCATTCCCGCATTAACATAAAAATTCATATATTTTAGCAAAAAATTGGGGTGAAATACTGATTTATCGCAAAACAAACAAACGCTTAAAAAAATGGAATACAAACAGAAACAACAAACTTTCATACAACCATAGCAATAATCGAAGATTTAACCAGACAAAATAAAGTAAGAATACTATTTGAACTACATACCTCCTGATTTCATGTTCCCACAGGATTACTCCGTGTGAAATACAGTTAAAGACCTGATGTTTTGTAAAGGAAAAGTTGTATCTTGCAAGTAACATCAATATGTGGGTTTTTCGTGTTAACTTAAAAATCGCCCATGAGTGGAAAAAAAGTTGCAATGAAAACGGACTCAATTCAACGTGTGGTGAATTTTTTTTCATTGCATAGAACAGCTGTAAAACGTGGGAATCAAGGATAATTGCCCATGAAAAGAGCATCAAAATAAACTACCCCCAAATTAATTCCAAAACGTGGGATATTCTACGGAGAGAATGAAAAAAAAACGATAGAGAAAACGAAAGAAGAAAACTGTCGAGAAACGTGGGCAAAAGAAGAGCGAGAAGGAAAAAAAAAAAAGAAAAAACGAAAGCAAAAATATTAGAAATTAATTTATTTTTGTTTACCAAAATTACCCTTAGGCCAACAAATATTTCACAAAAATGGGATTAGGGTTTCGGGCAAAACCTTTCTTTTATATATAAAGATAAGTTTATAGACTATAAAATTATACAAGTAAGATACATATTTATTAAAGTATTTTTTGATATTTTATTAGTAGAAATTAAAAAAACTCGTAAAAGTATAACTTATTTGGACCATTTGAATTGGTGAGAAAAGATATTTGGGGCAATGGCGGGCCAGGTATGGCGTTACGGGCCACGGGGCAGCCCAGCTCACGTAGTAAAACTAATGCCCAGCCCATGGAATTATATTGCTGGGCTGGGTGGGCTGAATCCTCGAGCTTGCTGCGGGAGGGCTGAAATCTGTTTATCACTAATAATTGGGCTGGTTAGTAGGCCCCACCAAACATGCCTCATGGAACGGAGTTTGTTAATTGTGTCTACCTTTTTTAGGTTCAAATCAATTGCTATATTAGTTGCCCATTTCCAACATTCAAGACACATATTGAGCCATCAATTTGACTTTGACCCTTAAAAGTAATTTTCCAACCAACAACGAGCTCGTCTAAGGCAATTAAGAGCAACTACAACGCGACCCATTAGGCACAATAATGAAATTAAATTCACTTCCGAAAAAATCGAAAGAGCCAACTCAGATTGTATTCGTCTGAATTTCGCTCGCACGTGTAAGTAAATCTGAATCTTGAAAATTAAATACAATGTAAACCCTCATTATTAATAAACCATTTGAACTTAATAATCATAAAACAGCCCTACAATACTGATCCATTCTGTACGTTGTTTAAGGGAAAAAAGATGGAGCACGATAAGTATAAAAAATGTAGTGTCATATATAGTCAACCTTTGGGGTTGGATAAGAGGTGTAGTGCACCCACACCGTATTATATTAGACCACCCCCCATTCCCTAAACTCCTAATTACCCTATTGATTGTAGAGAGAGAAAATAATGAAAGGGAATATGCGATAAGAAGAAAGAAAAGGGATAAGCACTAAATGCCAGCAAAGCCTAAATTATGAAAATAAATATCACACGCGTGCAAAACAAAATATTACATACTAAAAGGGGATCACTATTTCAAATCCCAACTTTTGCTTACTTGAATACCAAAAAAATAAAAAATAAATAATTAATTGTAAATTACTTTAATACCCTTAATGAAATTAAAACTAAAAAAATATTACAAATACTATTTTTCTTTCTTAAATACCAAATAATCAAAAACTCAAAAAACAATTTCCCTCCTTCTCCACCTCCTTCTTCTCCCTCCCCAAAAACCCTTCTAAAAAATCTTCCTCACAACAAACCCTTCTAAAAAATCTCACAACAAACCCTTCTAAAAAATATCAAAACTAAAGAAATTAAAACCTCACAAAACGTATAAAATTGAGTTATAAGACAATAATATGGTAGTATATATGAAAGGAGAACACATTAAGGTAAGTATCGATGTCTTTTTTGAGCTTCGAAGTCGATTTTGAAGTTTTTTTTTTTTTAAACCCGTCGGCAATTTTCGACACATACAGGTCGATTTTTTGGTCAATTTTCGACACCAACGTGTCGGAAAAGAAAAAAGAGAATATAGACCAATTTTCGACACCTACCTG